GCAGCATCAGGGACTCTGGGCGGGCTGGGAATCTCCTTCCTGGGAGCCCCAGGGCTCCTGGAATTCTCCTGGTGGCCGTCTGCGTGACAGTCACGGGGCGTCAGGAGGGGTGGGACTCAGGCCGGGACTCCGCACACGCCCTGAGCGCCTGGGCTGACATTTCACACGAAGGAAGCGACCCCGGGCCCGCCCTGCACCCCTCCTCCGCGTGGGGCACACGGGCCTGGCGCAGACCTGGGTGCTCTCTCGCAGCTGGTCCCGGAGCACGTCGTCATGACCAAGGAGGAGGTGACGGAGCTGCTGGCCCGGTAGTATCCTTTCTGGCCCCTCCGGGCCGTCCCCTCCTGCTCCCTCCTCCCCACTTTGTGTCCCCCGCCCCGAGTGCCTTTTCCCTGACTCTGCGTCCAGTAAGCTGCGCGAGAACCAGCTGCCCAGGATCCAGGCCGGAGACCCCGTGGCGCGCTACTTCGGGATAAAGCGAGGGCAGGTGAGAGCCCGACCCCCTCTGGCCCTGGGGACCTGCTCAGCCTCCTTCAGAGCCGGCGCCCTGCCCCGGGAGACGCGCCCCAGCTCCTGCTTTCCCGCCTCGCAGGTGGTGAAGATCATCCGGCCCAGCGAGACGGCGGGCAGGTACATCACCTACCGGCTGGTGCAGTAGCCACCGCCCGCCGCCAGGTGAGACGGACGCTGAGGCCCGGCGGGGGGCCTGGGCAGCCAGGCCTGGGGTGGGTGTCTGTCTCTCCCCGCCCATGTGCAGGAAGGTTCCCGCTCCTTCTGGTGTGCGAGCCCCACGCGGTACCCACCCCGCTGAGCTGCTGACCCGAGCGAGAGCCCAGCGCAGCCATGCTTCCCCGCCCGGTCTCCCCTGTGCCCCACACCCTCCCGTCCCTGGTTCCCCCGCAGCCCTCAGGCCACCTCCTGGGGGCCTGGAGGCTCCCCGAGTCCAGTCTGGGCAAGCCCAGTTCCCAGGACAGGTGTGACCGCCTCTTCCCTCGTCCAGCGCCTGGGAGACGGACACGCCCTGACCACCCTGCCCGGCAGTGGGCGAGGGGGCCGCCTGCCCTGTGGGACCCGCTCTCCTGAGGGCCTTGCCGCTGCTCCTCTGGATCCCATGGCGGAGTTGCCTTTCCTGAGCTGAGGTCCTTGTGGCCTCGCCTGGACGCTGAGCCACCTCGGATTCCGTGTGACGAGCGTCCGGAGGGGACAGGATGCCAAGGGCATGGTGGCAAACAGTCCCAGCTCCTTCCCCCCGCTCTGAGCGCCCCGAGTGGGCCCTGGCTCCCATCTCTGGTCAGCCCTGCCGTCGCCGTGTCCCCTCAAGGCGGCCCTGCCACGTCTGTGTGAGCCTTGAGGGCAGCGGGGGCGGGATTAAACCTCATCTGGGTTTTCAGTTAGGATTGATTGCTGCGTGTTTTAAAAAATTAAACGTATTTTGAGTAAATAAACTTGCTAGTCTGAAACCACAGGGGAACAGCAGGCCTCGCTCGGTGGCAGGATGGCGCCCACTGCCCAGCGCCTGTCCCACCCACGGGCGCCAGGAGCTTGTGCCTGGCCCCTCCCCGAGCACAGGGCGGGCCGTGCTCCACGCCCGCTCCCTCGTTTGTGTCATGGTGCATTTCTTGCACAGAGGTTTGGGGTCAAACTGCCCACTTTTCCCGTTTGGTATCCGATGTGAGACGGCCATCCCCGCGCGGGTACAGCAGCCGCCGTATTTGTTTCCTCCGCTTTGTCAAGAGAGTTCACATCGGCACAGCTCAGGCCTCTGCTGCCAGGTCAACAGGGGAGCTGACTCGCGGTCGTGCGCCCAGCACCACAGTCACTGTCAGATGTCCCATCTCCTGGCAAAGCAACCCCATCCCGTCAGCATCACCCATCGTCGCCCCCCAGCCCGTCGCCCCCACGAGCCCGCTCTCTGTCTGTGGATCTGCCTGTTCTGGACGTTTCATGTCCATGGGGTCACACGCCGTGTGTCCTTCTGTGTCTGCTTCTCTCCCTGAGCGTCGTGTGTGCAGGTCCGTCCACGTGTGGCTGTGTCAGGGCCTTGCTCCCCTTCACAGCTGCGTCGTGCTCCAGCGTGTGGACAGACACGTGTGGGTCCGTCAGCCGTGGATGGGCGCTGGGGTCGTGTCCACTCTGGCTGTTGTGAGTCGTGCAGCCGTGGGCATCCATGTAGGTGTTTCTTTCTTTCTTTCTTTTTTTTTTTTTGAGGAAGATTAGCCTTGAGCTAACTACTGCCAGTCCTCTTTTTGCTGAGGAAGACTGGCCCTGAGCTAACATCCGTGCCCATCTTCCTCTACTTTATATGTGGGACGCCTACCACAGCATGGCTTGCCAAGCGGTGCCATGTCCACACCCGGGATCCGAACCGGTGAACCCCGGGCCACCGAGAAGCAGAAACTGCGCACTTAACCGCTGCGCCACCGGGCCGGCCCTCACGTAGGCGTTTCTGTGTGGATGTGCGTGTGTGTTTTCTCGGGTGTGAGCCCAGCAGTAGAATTGCTGGGTTGTGTGGAAACTGGTTGCCCTTTCTAGAAACTGCCAGATAGTTTCCACAGCGGTGCCGTTTCGCGCTCCCAGCAGCCATGCACAGACCAGTTCCTCTGCATTGCCCGCGGGTTCCTCTGCGGTCCGCTGGGCGCGTGAGCTGGCGGCTCGCCAGCCCTGACTCATCGCCCTGATGACGGTGACGGCCAGCCACCTCCCGGCTTACTGGCCTCTTGCGTGTCAGCTTTGGAGAAACGTCTGTGCAGAGTCTGCCCTTTGTCTCGCTGGGTCATTTGTCACTTGTCATTTTATTACTGAGTTGTGGGAGTTCTTTATATGCTCTTGATGCAAGTTCCTCCTCAGATACACAGTTTCCAAAAACTTCTTCCCCTTTTTTGTGTTTCTTAAATGTCTGCTTGTAGGTTTGCTGTTTACACGTGGCCTTAAGTCCTGGGTTTTACTTCTGGGCGTTGCATGATGTGACTTTATCTCCACAAGCAGACACTGGTCTTGACCCGTCCATTGAGCATCTGGCAGGGCCTTTGGTCACCCCCCGAACGGCCCCACTGCTACATAAACCCCCAGATAGACGGGTCTGTTTTGAGATTCTCTTCTTTTTCATGGATCAGCTCAGCTTCTTAAAATGGCACTGTGTCTAACAGTAGGAAAAGTCTCTCCTTCCCCCCAAATGAGTGTACATTGTTCCCAAAATCATCTTGGCCAAAATAAGCCAGACACAGAGGGACACACACTGTGTGGTCCACTCACAGGAGGTCCCCAGAGGAGCCACAGCCACAGAGACAGAAAGTGGATGGGGGGCCAGGGGCTGGGGGAGGGGTGGGAGTCAGTGCTTCCTGGGGACAGAGCTTCAGTTTGGGGAGATGGAAAGTTCTGGAGACGGATGGAGGGGACGGTGGCACAACCGTGTGAATGTGCTTCATGCCGCCGAGCTGTGCCCTGAAAAACGGTTAAGATGGTCAGTTTATATTATGTATCTTTTGCCACCATAAAAAAATTGGGCTGTTCTTGAATGTTTGCTTTTGCAAGTGAGTCCTAGAATCAACTCGTCAACGTCCGCAAAGATTCTTTGTGCTTTGGGTGGGTTTGCTGTGGCTCTGGAGCTGGGTACCCACCTGCCCTGCCCCCGTACGAAGGGCCTTGGACCCCTCGGCATGCTTTCAAGTCAGCTCTGTGGAGCGAGTTTGCCCTTACCTCCCAGCCTTCGTGCCCCTCCCTCCGGCAGCACCTGGCTTTCCGTTGGGAATTCGCCCCTTTGTTGCTTGGGGACCAGATCCTGCCTATGCCACCACACACAGCCTGTCCAAGTCCCCGAGATGGGCTCAGGGTGGGTGGATGCTCTGTGACACCTGTTTCAGGGCTTCCACAAGAAGCACCCCCTCCTGGGGGACGGGTCGGGTGAGGAGGAGGGCCTGGGCATTCACACAGCCCCAGGTCACTGTGACATGCTGTGAGCCTGGGTCAAGCCATGCCTGAATCTGGCACCACCTTGTGAAGCCAGGCGACTAGGCAAATTATGAGGTGTGTCTCCAACAGCATCCAGAGCCCCGAGTTTGCAGGCCTCGCCAGGCCCCGGGGAGATGCTTTTGCACCTGCAAATGGGATGCTTCTCATGGCATTTGCTGTCTGACTGACGCCGGTAAGTGGGAAGCTGCTGTCCGGCTGAGCACTGATCTGTTAAATAGTTTGGTCTGTTAATTCTTCTGACCTTTTTAAAAATGTAGATCAGGGGTCAGCAAGTTTTTTCTATAAAGGGCCAGACAGTGACTATTTCGGCTTTGTAGGCAGGTGTCCCTCTTGCAGGTACTCAACTCTGCCTCCAGGAGGGTGGGAGTGGCCGTGGCCGTGGCCCTGCGCCATTCATCAGGTTGCAAAACACGGCCCTGGGCTGTCCTTCGCTGGCCTCCCTTCCAGCTCTTTTTTAGGAAGCTGCTGCAGGGGGCGGCGCGGCCACGTGAGGGGCCCCGGGGCTGCTTTTATCCTGACGCTGTGAGTTCCGGATAATTCTCCCTTGTCGGGTGGAAAGTTGGGTTTCCTCTCCGCTGGGTGTCCTGGGCCCTCCCGCATAAACTTCCCTGGGGGGGGTCTCCGAGCTGGGCAAGGGGTCGGTGATGGGAGCTGGGGGGTCCCAGATGGTGGCCCCGGCCCTCCTGAGGGTCTTCCATCTAAACTAAAGGGAGTTGAAACCTCAGTTCCGCTGCACAGCGGCCACGGTTCCAGAGCTCAGCAGCCACGGGAGGCCGGTGCCTGCTGCCCCGGAGCATCTCCGTCATCTGGAAGGTTCTACAGGACAGCGCTCAGCTCAAAGTTGACCTGAAGCGGTCACCTGACCCCTGAGCGTCTGCACAGCCGGCCTCGGAGGCCCTGGGCCCTCACACCCAGTGGGCTGTTCGTCGGGGCATTTCTCCTCCTCACAGCCCTCCCCAGCGAGGAACTGGGACAGCCTCAGGGCCCACTGTGTCCCTGTCCCCAGGCCACCGCCACCAGAGAAGACGGGCTCAGAGTAAAGACTTTATTTTAAGCAAAATAAATGTGCGTATCAAAGAAGAACGCCCTGACCCAGACAGACCTCACTGGGTACCTAACCCTGGTGGCAAAACCCAGTTTTCTGAAAAGCAAGGGCATCCTGAGGCCACCGCTGGGCCGCCGCCGGGCCCCCGCTGTCCGGCCACCAGGGTGGCCTTCCCGGCCCTCGACGCAAGTCAGGGCAGAGCCTGCGGTCCGGGGGGCAGCCGGCCTCCAGGGCAAGGCAGGGGTCGCTCAGTGGCTTTCTCTGTCCTCACAGCCCCACGGCTACTCCTGAGAGCATTGTCCCCCAGCTCAGCCAAGCCGGGCCTGCAGGGTGCAATGGAGCGCAGGGTGGACCAAAATCTCACACCATACTCCTGGAAGCTTCCGGAAAAGGGGGCCAGCCATGCCCTTGGCGCTGCAGGCTGGAAGCAGGAGGCCTCATGGTGCCCGGACGTCGTGGCCCAGGGAGCCGTGACCTGGCCCAGGCACGCCACAGGACAGGAGCCAGGAATGGGACGGGCCTGCCCCACCGCCGCAGCTACACCAACTCCGGCTGCCTCCCCGGGCCGCTGCCCGCCAGGACTTGCCCGCCATGGAGCTGCAGGGCGGGCGGCTGGGCCTGGGCCACGTTGTTGCTGCTCTGGTTGGCGTTGGACTCCGAGAGCCGCCTGGCCAGGCCTTCCCCGAGCCCCTCCCAGAACCTGTCCCCGTCCCCGGCCGCCCCGGCCTCAGCCCCCAGCTGCTCCTCGCTGCCGCTGCAGCTGTCCCGGCCCTCGTCCACGCTGGCCTCGCTGCCCTGCTTCTCCAGGAGGCTGAGGCGGTGCAGGGCGGCCCCGCCCACCGGGGACAGCAGGTCTGTCACCTCCTCCAGCTCTGAGTCTGAATCGTTGGAGGCGATGTGGGATTCTGGGAAGTCTGAGAGAGAGGGAGGGAGGGACAGAGGGACAGAGAGAGAGGGAGAGAGACGGATGCCCTGAGACCAGGAGGGGACCCGGGCTCCGCTGCCTGTGACACTGCGAGGTGGCCCCCCCTCAGCAGGCACAGGTCTCGGCTTGGAAACCTCCCCCCGCAGAGGAGGTGCAGTCTCGACACTCGGGGTCATTTCCATTTCTCAGCATTGTCTACACACCTTGAAAGGGCATCTCTTGTGTTTGCAACAGATAAGAGCAATGAATGGACAGGTGACACACGTGGTCTCCGTGGGAGACAAAACCCACGGGCAGAGACATGGACCCACGGCGCCACGATCCGCCCACCTGCCTGTCTCCCGGGTCAGGCGCCGGCTGCTGGCAAAGTGCCCCCCATCCCACCACACCGCTCACCTCGGCCGCCGTCCTCAGCCTCCTCCTGCAGGGCGAAGGCGGCCCCCTCACTTGCCTCCGGGTACGGCACCTGGACCACCACCTCCGCCCGCTGGTGGGACGTCCCATCCTGTGGGGGTGGGATGGAGGTCAGCTAGGGACCTAGATGCCCGCTCAGCCCCAGGTCCGTTTTCTTTCTTGTAAATTAACTACATAGAAACCGTAAAAATTGTTAACACCCGCTGCTGCTGCTGAGGATGTGACAACACCCCATCCCCATGTCATAAACAGGCCGAGGTTGTCCCATGGGGCAGACGACCTTGGCCAGAAAGGCTGGGCCCCTGCAGGGACACCAGGACGGGAGCTACCGTCCTGAGGCCACACCCAGGCGTCTGCCTCCCAAAACCTGGGACCCGGCCTCCCCTCCACACTGAGGGACACTGGCAGAGGGATTAAAGACACGCAACGGGGACTTGAGTACAGGAGCAGGAAGCTGCTCAGAAACCAGTAGAACTTGTAGACGTGAAAGGAGAGCCTGACGGCCAGAGAAAGTGGCAGGCTGGAGCCAGGGTGTGAGGAGGTGCTGTAGCTGGCACAGAGACAGGAGACAGGAAAAGGCCAGTGGAGGGCAGAAGGAGAGGGGGTGGAAAGACAGCCACAGGGCCTTTGCACAGCCTGGGACTCTCCCCCAGACCTGAGCCAACGCTCCATCAGGTCTTTGCTTAAAATATAACTAAAAGGCCACCCCTAACCTGACCGCCCAGTGGAAACCAGACGTCTCCCAGTTCTTCCCGTCTGCACCCTGACAAGGGGGCCAGACTCACAGCCCCCACATGCTCACGGAGCCTGGCACCCCTCACCCCTCACCTGGCCCCCGAGCGCCTCCTCGGGCTCCTTCTCAAAGACCAGGCTGTAGTGGGTGATGAGGGTCTCGATGATGCGGGCCTGGTGGGGGTAGTCGACCAGGGAGGAGAGGGACACGGTGGCCTCGGTGGGCCGTGGCCGCAGCAGCGTGGGCCCGAACACGATGCCCAGGTTCCCTGGCGTCATCTTGTTGTCCTGCTCCACCTCCACGATCCTGGGGCGTGTCAGAGGGCACAAGAGCCATGTCAGTCGCTCCCCAGATGCCGCCCCCCTGGACCCCGGCCCGGCTGGCCCTCACCTGCGCAGGTGTCCTAGCAGGTACCGCAGCGTCGCCCAGTTCTCAGACGGCAGGTCCTGCAGCAGCTCCCGCAGCCGGCCCGCCATGGCCACGGCCGCAGCCTCACTCTCGGCCACATCCGGCCGGCCCCGGGATGCTGCCTTGGCCTCCGCCTCCGCCTTCAGACTGTCCTTGGCCAGCCCCATGAGCTCGTGGTAGAAGCGGAAGGAGATGAGTGGCTCCGGCAGCTGTGGGGCATCAGGTCAGGTCAGGGGTCAGTGGGCCCGGTCCGGCTTCGGCGTGTCCCGCTCCGGCCACGTCCCCAGCCTACCAGCCCCACCCCTGCCTGGCACCGACCCTGCCCACTCTGTACCGACCACGCCCCCACCCTAGCAGCCCCAGCCCACTCTGTACAGACCACGCCCCTAGCCCAGCAGCCCCGCCCCTGCCACGCCCGCCCCCGCCCACTCTGTACAGACCACGCCCCCAACCTAGCAGCCCCACCCCTGCCTGGCACCGACCCTGCCCACTCTGTACAGACCACGCCCCCAGCCTAGCAGCCCCACCCCTGCCAGGCGCCGGCCCCGCCCACTCTGTACAGACCACGCCCCCAACCTAGCAGCCCCACCCAGGCCAGGCGCTGGCCCCGCCCACTCTGTACAGACCACGCCCCCAACCTAGCAGCCCCACCCAGGCCACGCGCCGGCCCCGCCCACTCTGTGCAGACCATGCCCTAGTCTAGCAGCCCCGCCCCCCACGCTGGCCCCGCCCCGCTAACCTCAGGTCCTGGCAGGCCCAGCATCTGCCCCAACTTGGCCGCCTCACCTGGCGCAGGTAGAGTTTGAGAACGTTGCTGATGTCGTGGGGCGGGGCCTGTGACAATTCCACCAGCTCCTTGCCAGTCTCGAACGCCTGGCACAGCTTCTCCACGCGCGTCTTCACCCCGTTGACCCGGTAGATGCCCTGTGGGGGCCGCAGTGAGCGTTGGCCCACGCCCGCCTCCCCTCCCCGCGTCCCCCAGGGCGGAACCGCGCCGTCCCCGGGGTGGTCACCTTGGTGCGCAGCGCCCGCCGCTCGATCTCGCAGACGCACTTCTTGACGATGAAGGGCACACCGTCCGAGGTGCTGCGGGCTGCCTGGCTGAAGTCCTGGCCGAAGAGCTGCAGGCGGCCCTGCAGCTTCTTGTGGCCGCACTGGATGGCCAGGGTCTCCAGGCACTTCTTGTGGCAGGCGAGGCAGCACTGGGGGGACGTGGAGTGAGCCGACCCCTCCCAGCCCCCCAGCCCAGCACCCAGGCCCCTGGCCCCACCTCCTGCCTCCTCCTTGATGCCCTCACAACCGCCCCCTACATGAGCCATCCAGATTGCCGCTCAGAGCTTGCTGTAGCCCCTCAGGGCCGACAGACGCCCTCCCACGCTGCCGCCCACCAATCCAGCCCTGATCCTTGGTTTTTCTCCCACAGCCCGCCGGCTCCTGCCTCCAGGCCTTTGCATGGGCTGTGCCCTCCACCGGGGACCCTCGCCCCCCAGTAGGCTCCAGGTCTCCAAATGCTCCCGTTTGCACCTCGCTTAACATCCCTCCCGCACTCCGCTCCGCGTGGGACCTTCCTGGCTCCCCCTGCGCCCTGGGGTCCCCCCCACGCACCTCCTCGCACTCGGCGCCCTGGAAGTACACGTAGCTGTTGCACTCCCGGCACTTGGCGGGCGTGCGGAGCTTCCGCAGCCGGTGGGTCCGGGCTGCCTTGGACAGCCCCACGTGGCGGAAGGGCCCGCTGGGAATGGCCACTGACAGATCAGGGGCCATGCCGTTGAGGTCAGCTGGGGGCGGGCAGGGAGTCAGCCTGGCCGAGGCAGGTGGGGGCCAGGCCCACACGCCCAGTCCAAGCCCCTGTCCCCCCAGAGCCCGGGTAGGGGCCCCCTCACCTTGTTCAAAGGTGGACCCCTCTGCACTGCCCTCCTGGTCCGCCAGCTCCTCACTGGACGACATGGTGCCACTGGAAGACATCCGCTGGAACTTCTTAAAGTCCCCTGAGCAGGAAAAAGGAGGTCAGACACCCCGAGGCAGGAGGGACCGGGCCACCAGGTGCTCCCCGGAGGGTCCTCTGCGGTCACACTCTCCATCACCCCGGCTGCACGGTGAGCCCACCGAGGCCTCTGCCCCCAGCCACCGGGCAGGTCCCTTCACCTGGGCTGGAGCTGGGGTCCAGGCTGCCGTCTGCGTCTGAGATGGAGATGGGCCACGACTTGTGCACCTGGTGCCCGCGCCCACCTGCGGAGGGAGGCACCTCCAGTGAACGCCTGAGGGGGGCTGAGAAGGTCATCAGGGAGGCGTGGCCGCCCCCACGTCCCCGCTGGGCACTCACCCCTGCGCTCCTTGGCCAGCGCCCCATCGTCACTGGGCCCACCTTCCTCCGGGGGGCTGCCCGCAGCCTCCGCCCCCGCCGCGTCGCCAACGTTGAAGCTGCTCTTCCGGGTGCGCATGACCGGGGACCTGGTGGGACACACAGCCAGCAGGCGGGGCCGTGATGGGGGTCACAGAAGCACGGTCACACCCGCCCCCATCACAAGCGGGCAGCCCGGCCCCCTGGGCACGCGCAGACGGCGTACCAGGAGCTGGTGGAGACGTGGGGCTCGAAGTCATAGTGCACGTCGGGCTCCTCGCCGCGCTGCAGCTGGCGCACGTAGGACGCGTACTGCTGGCCCGGGTCGTACAGCTTGCTGCTCTCGCAGAGCATCTGGAAGTGCACGGGCAGCGGCGCGGTCTGCATGTGCATCGTCTGGTAGTAGGAGATGGTGGCCTGTGGACGGAGGGGGCGGTGCGCACGGCGCGCGCGGCAGGGTCAGGAGGCTGCCCCGGCGGCTGCCCCGCCCCCCGCGCGAGGGCGCACCCGCCACACACCGACTTGATGGTCTGGTCGCTCTGCCGGATGACCTCCTGGATCTGCCGGAGCGCCGTCACCTTGGCGTCCTCCAGCCCCTGCTTCTGCGTCTTAGCGTCCGCCACGCACGTGCGGTACGTGGCCATGGCTTCCTCCGCCTGGGGTGGGGCCAGGGGACACGGAGAGAGGCCTGAGCCCGGGGTTCCGCCCTCAGGGCATCGTGAGGCCCAACACAGAAACCCAGCCCGCAGAAACGCACGGGAAGGCACTCCCGGCGGGGTGCACAGCCCGGAGAGCAGGGGAATTGCGCATGGCGCCCCGGGATCTGCCGCCACTGGGTCTCGCCCCCTCCGCTGCCCCCCTCCCCCCACTGCCCGCCCCCACCTTGTTCTTGGCCTCCTCCTCCAGGCGCCGCCGCTTGTCCAGGGTCTTGGAGGCGGCGCCCCCCGCCCCGGGCCCGGCGCTGGCCTGCTCCTCCTCGGCCTTGGCCACCAGCGCGCGCGCCTTGTCGTGGTCGTCGCAGCGCTGCGTGTAGCCTTGCTTGGCCTTGCGCAGGTTGTATTCCGCCTCATGCTGCGGGCGGGGAGCGACGAGGCGGGTCCTGAGCTGGCTCCCCAGCTCCCCTCGCCCTCCCCACCCTATCAGCCAGGCACCGAGCCAGGCACCTCGGCCACCCACATCTTTTGCACCCAGATCCCAGGACCCAGTTGGGCAAACAGAAGCCCCTGCCCAAGAACCGACGGCAGAAGAAAAGGAGGAAACGCCTACGGTGGGACCCCAGGAGGAACGAGCGTCTGCTGTGCCCGTTTTACAGCTGGAGAAACTGAGGCACAGAGAAGCTCAGAACGAGGCAGGAACTACACCATCTGCTGACACTGACACGACACCCACCCCCGCCAGCGCGGGCAGCCTCCTGTGCTCCTGTCTCTTTCACTTCCCGTCTGACAGACGACAGCAAGGCCACCCAGGCAGGAAGCTGAGCACCCTCAGGGGTGGCAGGAAGAGCACGCTGTCAACCCCGGTGGGCCTTCCGGGGGCCACACCTCACAGCCCGCACCACCAGAGGTTTGAACGTAGAGATAAAAACTCGTACAGGTACAGAGAGAAACCACGGAGAATTTTTTTTTAATAACCGCAGTGCGGCGAAGGCCTTTCAACGTGTGACATGAAACTCAGAAACCATAAAACAAAAGACTATCACCAACAACAACGGATTTCTACCTGGCAAAGTAGGCCACAAGTAAAGTCAAAGTCAAAAAACAAACTGGGCCAGGGGGGTTGGGGGGTCTGGAATGCACATCATCAAGGGCTGGGTTCTCTCATATGTAAACAGCTCTGGCAAATCAATAAGAAATAAGCCATTGTCTAATCCAAAGTGAGCAAGGATGCAAACCAAGAGTTCACAGAAGAGGAACAGCGGTGGCTGAGGCTGGCACACCCACGCTCAGGCATTCCATTTGGGCACTGATCCAAGATAAACAATTGGCCTCACATCCCAGAGATGAGAGACAGGGGCACAAGCTCGTCACAGTAATGGTGTTTGAAATAACAGCAGCCCAGCAACAACTGAACTGTCCATCAATAGGGATTTAGTGGAATAAGCCATGTGGCCTCACAGCTGAGCGTTTCACGTGGACTGAGATGGGTGAGCCTCTGGGGGTGGAGGCCAGGAGCAGAAGAGGCTGCTCACCCAGCCGTCACCAAGGGCACAAGAGGAGGAGCTGCATATATGCGGGTTGGTGCTGGAAGGAGCCCCAGGACAGCCCTTGCTGGAGCTGGGCGTGGGGGCGCCTTTCCACAGGCCCTGTTAACAAAGCTAAAACGCAAAACCCAAAGATACTAGTGCCCTTGGAACGACCCGAAAGAGAGGTGGGAAAGAGTACCAGGCAGGAACCTGGAGCTCCCCCAGGCCCGAGAGCAGCAGTCACCCTCCACTCCACGCAGACCCACCCCTTGCACCCCCAGCAGGCACCGTTCGGCCCCAAGCCTGAACCGCGACAGGGAGTGGGGTGGGTCTGGGGTCTCCCCTGTGCAACTGGGGGCCATGGGGCTGCAGCATCTTTGAGGCAGGATCTGCTCCCACTTGGGACGCCAAGGCCAGCCCCACAGGGTTAGAAGGCCACGATGGCCAGTGTCCGAAAAATCCGGATAGGACGGCCCAGCCCATGCTGCGCAGAGGCCACCCCACCCAGGCCCTTTCCTCTGGACCGCCCCCCTCCTCCAGGACACGCCCCTTTATCCCAGACACGCCCCTTCCTCCCTGCTCCGCCCCTTCTTATGCCCCGCCCCTCCATCCCAGACACGCCCCTTCCTCCCTGCCCTGCCCTTCTTATGCCCCGCCCCTTTGTCCTGGGCCCGCCCCTTTCTTACGCCCCGCCCCTCTATCCCAGACACGCCCCTTCATCCCTGCCCTGCCCCTTCTTATGCCCCGCCCCTCCATCTCAGACACGCCCCTTCCTCCTGGCCCCGCCCCCTTCCTCCCGGCCCCGCCCCGCCCGGGTACCAGCTTCCTCTGGGCGCGATGCCACGACTCCTTGATCTCCTTCCTCCGCTTCTCATGCTCCAGCCGCCGCAGGTTCAGAGGCTGGGGTGAGATGGGCCATGAGTGGGGACCCCAGCACCCGCCCCCAGCCCGCCCCCCGGGGGCGCTGCCCACCTGCATGAAGGTCTGTGTCTGCAGCGTGTTCGCCGCCTGCACCAGGCCGTGGCCGAAGTCCGCGTCCTGCTCCAGGGCCAGCGAGTAGATGGACTGGAGAGGCATGGGGGGCTGCGGGGGCGGGGCCAGCCGTCACCGGGGTGGCACAGGAGGGGTGCCCCAGCATCCCAGCCCTGGGGGAAGCCCTGCCCCCTCCCGGTGAGTGTCGCCACCTTGGCACAGATGGGAAACCCCTGCCCGGCGCCCACGCGGCCCCACCTCCTGCAGGAGGCTCTGTCTGCAGTTGTGCACGATCTTCTGCAGGCCTTTGGCAAAGTCCATCTCTGCAGGGGGGAGGGGCGTGAGTGCAGGGGGAGGGGCGCTCCCGCCAGACCCCACCCCACGGACCCAGCGCTCACCCAGCGTGCTGCGCTTCTCCAGGTAGCCGATGAGGTCCTTCATGTACTTGGCCATGTTCTTGGCATAGTGCAGCGCCGCGTCCACGCCGCCCTCACAGCGCTGCAGCAGCACGTCCACCGCCTCGGGGTGCAGGCCGCCTTCGGGGGAGCGGGGGTCTGCTCAGGCCCCACTGAGCCTCCCACCCTCCTCGGCCCCAGGCCTCTGCCCCGCGGCCCACCCTTCAGGCACCGGCCATGAGCGGCTCAGACTTACCCTCGTCCCCATCCTCGGTGCTGGCGGTGGCGCCGTCACTGCCGGGGCCGTACAGGCTCTCCATGGACTGTCAGGAGGGACACAGTGAGGCCACCCCCGGGGGTGGGGCCCTGCGTGATGCCCACCCTGCTGGGGACGGTCCAGCCCCCTGGACAGAGAGGGAGGCCCAGGTCTGCAGAGGGAGCAGGGGGGACTCACCCACCCTGCCAGCCTGACCCTGGGCAGCATCCAGGCCGCCCCTGCTCACCTGGCTCGGGTCCCCGGGGGGCACCGACAGGAGGGTGCTGCTGTCCACTTCGCCCATGAGGAACTCGGACACGCTGCGGGGCCGGTGGGGTCAGCCTCAAGAGGCACATGGGCTCCCCCCCTCCCCCACCCCCTACTCCCACTCCGCACCCTCCCCACCCCCACCACCGCTCACGTGCTGCTGAAGGAGACGGCGATGGTCTCCAGGGCCTTCTCAAACTCCTGCTTGTCTGAGTCATTGTTACACTCATAACGGAAGGCTGGGAGGCAGAGATGAGGACAATGGGGGTTGGTCCACTCTGGGAAGTGACCACCCCTGCAACTAACTGAAGGGGGCCCTTAGCCCAGGGGGAGCATTGAAGCAGCTGTGCCCATCAAACTCCTATGCATCCTTCAAAACCCACTTCAAAAGTCCCCTCCTCTGGGAAGCCCTCCCAGGCAGAGAGCCCTTGCTGCCCTGTCCTGACCGGCTGACCTTTGATCTTGGCAATGAGGGTGCCGGCAGCCGTGAGTGTCTCCAAAGTGTTCAGCAGTGGGTACTTGGAGATGACCTGGTGCATCACACGCAGGGCCTCACCCAGGCGCTCGTGGGCCAGCGGCCGGCGGGCCTCGAGGAGGTCTGCTGGGCAGAGTGGGTGTGAGTGGGGAGGGAGGGGCCTGGCCCCAGGGAAAGCCTGCCCACCTCCTCCTCAGAGCTCCTGTCCCCTGGTGGGGAAACTGAGGCAGAGATGAGCAAGGACAGCTGCCCGAGTGAGGCTCTCTGTGGGAACTCAGGTGAGGCACTGACCCTCCCTGGACTGCTGGCCAGTCCCCTCTGCTCAGAACACTCCTTCCTCGTCCCTCCAGAAAGCACACTCCCGCTTATCCTTCAAGTTGCTGTCCTGGCGCCTCCTCCTCCATGCAGCCCGCCTGCCCCAACCCCTCCCGGCTGCTCAGGGCTCTGCCCAGCTCCCTCCCTGCCTACTTGCCTGCTGGGCCCTGGGCCTCCAGCACCCCGTTATCTCACTCCCTCCCTACAGCCACCCCATGAACCAAGCACTCTCATCATCCACCCGTTTTGCAGATGGGGAAACTGAGGCACAGAGAGGGGAAGTCGTTCCTCGAGGATCACGGAGCTCTTCCGTTTACGCTAACTCTGAAAGCACGAAAAAAACCAGCAGGCAGAAGGACCCCGCCTCGAGGCTTCCCTCCAGGGCAGCGGGGAGCCACAGAAGGTGTCAGGGGAAAGGAGGGCGAGGTCGGATCCGCGCTTTGGAAAGCGGCTTTAAACGCCCTTCTCGAACGTTCTTAACTGGAAACAAGCGGCGCGCGCGGGCGGACAGTGTGCGCAGAACGCCCCCCATCCAGCGGGAACGGCAGCGGGAGGGAGGAAGGAGAGGGGCCCCCGCCCCCCCGACCCCCACCCGCCGGGAAGCGGACGGCAGGCGGAGGACGCCGGCGAAGCCCCGACGGGCCCCGCTTGGCGCGGCCGAGGCAAGCGCGCGGCAGCAGCTGCGTCCTCAGCGCCACGTGCTCCCGGCCGGACTGGGGGACCCCGCTCTGTCCCCTCACCTCGGGGCCCCGCGCGGCCGCGCACTGAGCCCGGGTCCAGCGCCGGGGGCACCGCCCCGCAGAGACGCGGGGCGCGGGGCCCGGGAACGCGCAGGATGGACGGGGCGCCTGGCGGGTCTGGGGGGGTCCCCCGGCGGCTGGCTGGCGGCCAAACCGGCTCTGACCCGTCCGGAGGCCCCACCCCCGCCGAGGGAAGCCTCGCCCCGCCCCGCCCGCCCGCGGGCCCTGGCTGGGTCCCCGGCTCCCCGGATTCAGGGCGCACGAGCCTGGGACCCGAGGCGACCTGATTCGGGGGATGGGGGGGTGGACGGGCCGAGAAACTGAGGCCCAAAGCCGAAGAGCAGGGCGCGAGGAGGCGCCGCCCGGAGGGGGCGGGCCGGCCCCAGGAGACCCCGCCCGGCCCACGTGGACCCCGGCGCGCGCCTCCGCCTGGGCTGACAGCGCCGGCGTCCCCAAGACGCCGTGTGGTTCTCACTGTCGCCACAAGAATCGCAATAGGCCGAGGACGTCCGGGGACAGTCGGCAGCCTCGCGGGGCGCGTCGTCGCCCCGCTTCACAGATAAGACACTTGAGGCTTAGAGAGCGAGGCGACTCGCCCGGGGTGTCCCAGCTCGGCGAGGGGCGCGGCGCCGGGACTGAACCCACATCCTCCCTGCTCCAGGCGCTTCCCCCAGAAGGGCGCCCCCGCCGCAGCCCGACCTCCAAGGAAGCGCCAGGATGGGAAAGGAACCGAGATTACGGTTTCCCCAGGAAACAGCTCGGCCGCCCCTGGGACCAGATAACCCGGGGCTCCCACCCCCCTCCCAGCATGGGCGGGGTCTCCGCTGGCGAGCCCTTCCTTAGCGGGCGCAAGGCGCAGAGGCCCCTCTGCAGGGTGAGGTCGAATCCCGTCTCTGGCCTCTCCTTGGCTGAGTAAGCTGGTGGTCAGAGGCCCACTAGGGCCCTCGGTTTCCTCATCTGCAGAATGGGTGCCCACGGGGGAGCGGGCGGGAGCGCCCGGCACGGCCCTGGCACTGCGGTTTCCTGAGGAGCGTGCAGGACCCACACGCTGCGCACGAGGTGCCTGCCCGCTGCCAGGGGCAAACAGGAAGCAGATGAAAATAACTCGGCAGGAAGCCCGCCTGTCAGCGGCCTCGTGGAGGAGAAAACGGAACCGCCGTCCCACAGGCCCCTCACTCCCGAAAACTCCTGCAGCTCGTGCACTGGGCCTACCCCCTGTCCCTCCTGAGTCTCTCCAGCCTGCCTCCAGTCCACCTCCGTCCAACATGCAGAGCGGACCTCGTCCCACCTCTGCTCTAACACCTTCTGTGGCTCCCCATTGCCCCAGGATAATGTCCCGGGCCCCTCTGCCTGCCATCCTCAATGCCTTCAGCCTCACACACTTCAAACATCAGCAACACCCCAAACCCGTTCCCCCAAATGCATCTGCATTACATGTTTCTGAGCATGTGTGTGCACCACATTCCCTCTGCCTCAATGCCTCTTTCCCTGCTAGTTGCCACCAAACTCCTACACATCCCTCAGAGCCTTAGCTGCAATGGCTTCTTCCATGAAGCCCTCCTGCCAATCCCCTTCTGAGCCTCCCCAAGTGCTGCCTTGACCCCACCGTGTTTAGGATACGTGCGGCCGGCTCTGCCCCCCACCCAGGTCTTGGTGCCGCTGTGGGTTCTCACCATCACACAGAACACACTCCCTGAGCTTTTCCAGGCCCTCCGCGAAGCGGGCCACGTCGGCCAGCAGCTGGGAGATGTCCTCCGTGGTGTCGGGGCAGGGTCCCTCAAAGGGCGCCTCAGCGGGGCTGGCGGCCGTCAGCGGGCTGCGGTGGGCCCGGCCGAGTGTCCGGGAGCCGGCGCCGGACAGCGGGAAGCCGGCGGCGCTGGCGTGGCGGCTCAGGCTGGTGGGCCTCTTGAGCGTGCCGGTGGCCTTGACATTGCAGCCGGGGCCCAGTAAGTCCACGCCGGGTCCGAGGGACACGGTGTCAGCCCCATCTTTCTTGGGCAGCTCCTAGGATAGGGGGTGGGGAGCTGGTAACGCTGGTGCTCCAACCCCGGGCACTGCCTCAGTTTCCCCAGAAGGGAAGGGGGGCGCTGGAGGGTCTTCACTCTGACCCCATAGGGGTCAAAGGCCAGAGGTCAGAGGGCCGAGATTTGGTGCCGCGCCCCTCCCACACCTGTTACCCAACATCCTCTTCCCCAGAGCTTTCACAAACAACCGTCGACCCAAACCACAGCCAGGGGCGTGGCCTGTGGGGGTGTGGGGGAGGAGGCACCCCGCTTCCTGGTGGGGGGAGGGAAGGCCAGGGGAGGGTCCTGGATCCTGTAGCCCCCCTCAGGCTGCTGCGCGCCACCTACTCCCTGGTAAAGACCCCTCTGGCGATTCCCAGAGCCCGAGGGTGCAGTGGACGCCCGGTCCCACAGACACCCCCAGGCCTTGTAGACACCCCCCGACCTTGTAGACCCCCTGGGCCCTGGAGACACGCCCCAGGATCCCCTTCCATGGTCCGCTGCCCTGTAAACCTCAGGCCCAATGACTGCGCCACGGCTCTCACGTCCAACGGCGCCCCGAGCCCCCAAATCTCCTGAGCCCCCCTCCCACAGAGTCCAGACGCACTGCCGCCCCCACCCCAGCACCCTCCCCACCCACTCACTCCCAGGGCCCCGCCACCGGCTCTCGGGGAGGGGGATGGAGGATGCGCGCCCATCCCAGAAGCTCCTACCGTGAGCTGAACGCCGGGGTCGCGGCCGGTCCCGCGCGGCGCCCGCAGTCCGGCCCGGTGGGGGCTGTAGCTGGCCCGGGACCCCCGCCGCCGGCCCAGCATCGCGCTGCGCGGCCCCCGCCCCGGCAGCCCCGGCGCAGGATGCGCCCGGCCCCCTGCTGCCCGGTGTCTCTCCGAGGTCCCCGCCCGCCGCGCGCTCCCCGCAGAGTCTCACTCACCCCCGCGGGCGGCGGGATGGGGCTTCCCGCGCGGTTCTTTTTGGAGATAGAAGGGGTTTTCATGAGTTCTCGCTTCTTCCTGGAGAACATGCTGGGGCCGGGGCCGCGCGGCCCGAGGGCGAGGGCTGGGCTGGGGCAGGCGGGGGTCTCAGCGTCGCAGCTCCGGGCCCTGACCGCCTCGGGACCACATTGTCACGGGCCACCCCCTCCCCAGCTGTCAGGCCCACGTGACAGGCCCTGCCCTCATTGGCGGGTCCTCCCTCCACAGGAAAAGGCCTCCCGAGGCGGCGACGCAGGCCCGCCCCCCACCCACCCTCCCTCCCGGCCTCAGCCTGCGGCTCGGCAGGGTGGGCTCGAAGGTGGGGTCCCAGGCCCCGCCCCCAGCCTGGCCCCGCCCCCAGCTTCCGCTTTCGGGCTCTCCGCGCGCGTCGGAGCGCGCGCCGCCGCCTGGCACCTGCGCCCCGGGGGGGCGGGGGGAGGGCAGCAGAGACGCTGACCCTCGCGCGGACACACCCGGACGCAGCCAGGAGTGCAGACACGCGCGCACGATCCCACGCAGGGACAGGCTGGGACACGTGCTCAGACGCGCTCCGCAGATGAAACGCGTGACCCGGAGCTGTGCACGCGGACCTCGGACGCAGACACCCGTCCTCTCACGGGCGACCCCCGCCCCCGGCCTCCTGCAGACCCCAGGGTCTGGGCAGCGCAGGGCACAGCGGGTCACGTCCCCCTCAGTCCCGCGCCGGCACTGGCCTCGGCCCAGCTCCCCACCCCCATCCCCGTCCTGCATTCCAGGGCGCACGCTGCCCCCCCGGACGCGGTGGGCAGCAGAACTGACATGGCAGCGCTGATAACACGCCCGAGGCCACCAGGCCGACTCCTCACGCCCCTGGCAGGGCCCCGAGAGCCCAGATCCCCGCCTCCTCCCCTCCCTGGGTCCCCATCCCCTCCCATCACCCCCAAAATCACCTCTTCTCTCGGATCCCCCCTAGTCGAGCCCCCTCCCCTCCCCAATTCTTACTCCCCTTCCTTTCCGAAGTCCCACCGTCAATCCCAAAACCTCATCCCCGTTACCTTCCCCAGCACGGGCCCCCCACTGACCTCGGCTGGGAGGGCTGGATCTCCCGGGCACAGGGCGCGCGTGCCGCAGCCCGTCACGCCAAACCCAGCTCTCCAGGCCCGGGTCCATCCGCAGGCCCAGCCCAGAAGTGCCTTGAGGATCCTCTGCCCACCACTCATGGCTCTGGGGGCCGGGATGAGGGGTGATGGCAGGCTCGCTGGGCGGCTGGCGGGTGGGCTCCCGGCCTGGTCTGGAGGCCTGAGCGCTGGGCCGCCCCTGCTGGGCTTCTCCAAGCTGCCCCGGACATTCCCGAGCCCTGACCTCATGCCCACTTCACGACCAGGCACCAGACTCACGTGGGCACTCAAGGGGCCCCGGACCAGTGTCCAGGCTCTTATGAAGGCCACAGTCCCATGTGACACCCCCCCACCCCCATCACTCCCTGGTCCCCATAGAGGCCTTTACAACTGGGGGGTCCAGCCAACTGCAGCGGGGCTGTCACCTGCACCCTAAGAATTGCATGTGTGTCACAAACCCACACGTGCACACCCTCGCGTGCAGGGGCCTGTATGCAGACGGTGCACAGAACCATTTACGGACACACGCACACAGTTTCACACCTCAGCTCCTCTTTATTTCCTCCGTGGTAGCGGCCCCTCTGGGAGCCTGGGTCCGGGCTCCAGCCACTCTGCCCTGCCTGTGTCACTCCCAGGGGCCCCCCACCCACCGGCCCCACAGAGGAGACTCAGAGCACTGTCTCGGTCGTGCTGGTGTTATCGAGGAACCGGGTGGTGAATCTGGGGCGCTGCGGGCCTGGCACAGCGTCCACCCCGACTCCTGCCTCCTGCTCCTCCTCGTCGTCCTCCTCCTTTCCCTGGTCCTTGGAGAAGTATAGGAATACCTACAGGGTGGGTGGCCCGAGGGAGGGGACAGGAGAGGCAGTCAGCCTGAGGGCCCGGCCCCCAGCCCCGCTCTGACCCGCGGCCCCCTCCCGGCGCGGCCGGCACCTCCTCCAGCGTGGTCTGGCTCACAGAGAAGTCCTCCACGCCCTGCTCCGCGCCGTGCGCCGCCAGCTCTCCAAAGACGCGCCACAGGGCGCAGCGCCCTCCCGGTGGCAGCTGGAAGCGCAGGCGGCCGCCGTGCGCCTCGCGCAGCTCGGACCCCGGGAACGCCGCCGCCACGAAGGCCGCCGCCGGCTCGGCCCGCGCCGCGGGCACCCGCAGGGTCAGCGTGTGGCCGGCCCCGAACCTGCGGGGAGCGGGACCCGGGCTACTGGACACGCCCACGGCCCCACCCACACCGCCCTCCTGCTCCCTCCTGGTCCCGCCCCCTACACCTGTTCCCTCTCGACCCCCCTACCCAAGGCACGACCTCGCCCTCGCCCCACCCACGGGTCATCCGTCTCTAGCCCCGCCCACCCCGCGGCCACGCCCCCAGCCCGGCCACCCACCTGACCCTCCTCCACCTGTGCCCCTGGACCGCGCTCACCCGTCGGACCCCGCCCCCTCATCATCTCGCCGGGACTGTCCACCATCCTCCCCTCCCCTTCCGTTAGAGCCAAGCCGGCCCCACCTGCACCCCACCCTCCTCCGCCCGCGCCCCTGCCCGCCCCCCCGGCCCGGAGGCCGCGCCCCGCTCACCGGCCCTTGAGGTGCTGCGCGCTGCCCAGGCAGCGGAACCGCCCGTTCACCATGACCGCCAGGCGCGTGCACAGCGCCTCGCACTCCTCCATGCTGTCGGGAGCCCAGCTGGTGAGCCCCGGAGCCCCGAGACCCTCCCCCTCCCGGCCCGGCCCCCCCTTCCGCTCTGGACACTTCCCGCCGGGCGCTGACCGCTCGGTTCCGGGGCCAGGTCCCACCTCCGTGCGTCCTCCCGCTCGGGCCTGGCATCCTCCGCCCGAGGGCAGGGCCACCCCATCCCGTGTGTCCCCGGGCCGTCCACAGCCTCTCTCCCCAGAGCCTAGACCACCTGGACACCCCGCCCCGGGCATCGGGCGCGGGCCCACCTGTGCGAGGTGAGCACCACGGAGCGGCCCTCCCGCACCACGGCCAGGAGGCTGTTCCAGAGGAAGCGCCGCGTGCCGGGGTCCATGCCGGTGGTCGGCTCATCCTGGGGTGCGGGAGACGCTTAAGCCAGGCCCCGCCCCAGCCCGGCCGGCCCTCGCCCCAGCCCCGCCCCACGCACCAGAAAGACCACGGCCGGGTCCCCCACCAGCGCCACGGCCGTCGCCAGCTTCCGCTTGTTGCCGCCGCTGTAGGTGCCCGCGGGCCGGTCGGCGTACTGCGGGAGCCCCAGGCGCGCCAGGCCCAAGCTCGCCGTCTGCGGGGCGGGCCGGAGTCGGGGGGACACCGGAGTGAATAGGAGCATGGGGGGGCGGAGTGAGCCCGGCGGGGGCCCGAATGAGAGTGGGGGGACCGAATGAGGGGGGAGGTGGGCCAGGAGGAGCATGGCGGGGCACAGTGTGGGGTGGGGGCCGGACTGAGTACAGGGTGCATTGGGGGCCAGAGCGAGCATGGGGCGGGGCCCGGTGAGTGGGAGGGGCCGGGGCGAGGATGCAGGTGGGGAAAGGGGCGGGGCTCGAGGGAGGGGAGCCGCACCTGGCGCAGGCGCAGGAAGGCGCGAAGCGGGAGGTGGAGTCACGGCGAGCGTGCGGGGCCACGGCCGAGAGGAGGGGAGGGGAGGGGAGGGGAGGGGCGGTCCCCGAAGCAGGGCGGGGGGCAGGGTGCGGCCAGGAGGACGGCGGGGAGCTGGGGACCCCAGCGAGGGTGGGAGCCGGGGAGGGCGGGGGCGTGGCCCAGCAGAGCCCAGGTGTGTGGCGGGTCACCTGGGCGACCTGCGCCTCGGGGACGCCGCGCAGGCGCGCGAACAGCTCCAGGTGCTCCCGGCCGGTCAGCAGCTCGAAGACGGCGTCCGACTGCGGGCAGTAGCCCATGCGGCGGTGCGCGGCGGCCGGCTCCTGGGCCACGCTGGGGTCGGGGCGCAGGCGGCTCAGGGCACGGGCCAGGCCCCGGCCAGGCTGGAGGCCCCCCACCCTGGAGCCCCTGGTAAGGGACAGGGGGTGTGTACCAGGCCCCATCCACCTGCAGGGGCTGGGCCCGCGCGTGCTCGCAGAGCCCCCTCACCTGTGGCCGGCCAGCACGGCCTCGCCCCCGCTGGGCAGCATGTCCCCGGTCACCATGCGAAACGTGGAGGTTTTCCCGGCTCCGTTCACGCCCAGCAGCCCGAAACACTGCGGGTTCACCGCGCACGGCGCTCAGCAAGGCCCCGCGCCAGCCCGGGGCCTCGGGTTCCCAGGGTGGGTCCTCAGTTTCCCCGTGGAGGGCAGTGGACAAGGGGGCCCCGGGGGGCAGATACCGGGAGCGTGTGGGGAGGCGTAAAGCTGTCCCTTAGCAGGAACGGCCCCTGCCACTTGGTGGGCACTCGGGCAGGGTGCACAGTCAGCCTGAGTTGGAGTGCTGGCTGGCACATAGTAGGCACCTGATAAAGAGTGACTGCCACTTACGCCGACACGCCACGTGTTTGCAGGTGTCACAGGTACCGGCCCCAAGAGGCTGCCACTAACTGGCACACAGAAATTGTCTGCACATAGTAGGCGCTTGAGTGCGAATTGGGACAAAGCGGGTGCATAGTAGATACTGGCTGTGAGCAAGTGCTTGAAACGGATGTGTATACAATAGGGGCTCCATAAATGCTGTTGGTGCGTGATAAAAGTTGATCAGCACAGAGGTGGCATTTGATATGCCTTTGGTGCGCACAGTGGGTGCTCAGTAAAAGGTCGCAGGCGCACAGCAGTTGCTCAATAAAGGGCAGGAGACTCATAGTAAATGTCCAAGAAAGGGTGGTAGGCACACAGACGTGCTCAATAAAGGCAGTGGGCGCACAGTAGGGCAGCCTCTCGCTGCCCCTGCACCGGGACCTCCACTCTGACTTACCTCACCGGGGGGGATCCCCAGGCACAGGCGGTCAACAGCAGGTGTCCTCTGCCTGGGGTACACCTGAGGGGGAGCAGATCCCTGAGAAAGGTGGCTGGGCTGGCGGGAGCCCCCCACCCAGAGCGCCCCTTGGCGGCACCCACCTTGGTCAGGTCCCGCAGCACCAATATGTCCCCCTTGGTGGCCCCTCGGACCACCCGCTCCCGCTCGCGGGCCACGTCCTCGTCCTCCTCCCCCAGGGGCGGCAGTGGCTTCAGCTTGGGTCTGAGGACAGAGACACGAGTGGGCCCCAAGCCGGCCCGCGGCCCCTGCCACCCTATCCCGGGCCCCACTGACCTTGGCAGGAGGCGGTTCCGGTGCTGGAGCAGGAGCGTGAAGAGGAGGAAGAGGGGCCCCTGCACCACCATGGCCAAGAGGTTCTTGCCGACCACCTCCCAGCGCAGGGGCGACTGGAAATCCCCATTTCCTGTGGGGACAGGAAGGAGGGGCTGGCTCCTTGGAGGATCTTGGTTACGGGACCCTTCCTCATCCTAGAAACCTTGAGTTCTTACAGGAGAGGACCAAGAACTGGATAGGCCACTCAACTGAGGTCTAATTGGTATAGAAAAACAGTGATATCACCACCTCCCTTATTTAGGGCCTTAGACCCCTTGTGATGTGACCCAAGATAGAATTATCTTTTATGGCTGCTTTGCTGCACCTCGAACATGGCCCAACTCTGGGGCCAGCCGAGACCTTCAGTTTCATTCCCGGGGGGCTGCTGCTTGTCCCCACCCTGTATCATCCCCTCTTGGCTGGCCCTTCTCCACCTGGAAGGAAGTTCTCACCGAAGCGCTCGAAGGCGTCGGCCATGGCCTGGTTCCGCACCATGTCGATGAGCCCCCGGCCCAGGCAGAAGTGGGGGAAGATGAGGAAGACTCGTTTCAGGATCCGGCTCACGTCCTGCAGCTTCTGCTCCGGGAACAGGAGGCGGGAGGTGGGTCTGGGGCCGAGGCCAACACCCCAGCCGCAGCCCCCGCCCCCCGGCGCCGCACCGGGCCTCCTCCCACCCCCCACACCCCGGCCCACCTCATCGGAGAAGAGCTCGAGCACGAAGGTGGCCATGCTGCCGTTGATGCCGATGAAGAGGTTGATGCAGGTGAGCAGCACGTAGGCCGTGCTGGGCACAGAGAAGCAGAAGGAAGCCGGGTACATGAGCGGCGTGATTGACCAGCTGGGGGCAACGGGAGTCGCCAGGTGACCAGCCGGACGGGGGGCTCAGTGGCCCCGAGGGGACGAGTACAGGTCCCTCCCGTCCTCGCTGCTCGGGCTCTGGAGACGGGAGTCCGCACGAGCTGAGCTCGAAGGCCATTTGGGCATCCCGTGGAGTGAGGTCACAGCTGCGGTCACCTCCGGCCTTGGGACCTGCTCCGGGGCCCTGGGGGGCTCTGGGGGGCCGGGGGTCTCACCCGTACAGTAAGAGCAGCAGCAGGAGGGCAGGCAGGTTGGCGGGCGCCACGTACGCCTTCTGCTGGAAGGCCAGGAAGATGAGCACCACGATGCACGCTGGCACCAAGTAGTTACACTGCGGTGGAGACGGCAGGGACCCCCCCGTCAGCGTGCACGGGGCGGGACGCCCTATCTCCCGCCATTCCCGAGACGTCCCCACCCCCCAGGGCCAGTCCCTGCCCGGAAGGGGCCAGAAGGGGCAGTGGCGAGCGGTGGCCGGGCCCCCACCCCTCCGGGCTATCCGCGCACCATGTCCCAGAGGAAGTTGCTGAGCCAGTAGAGAGTGGGGGGCAGGCCCCCCATGAACTGCAAGTGTTTGGCTCCCGTGACGCGCTCCTCGATGAGGACGAGAGTGAAGCTGGCCGGGACAAAGGACATGGCGAAGACCACACAGATGGACACGAGCACGTCCACCGAGGAGGCCATCCTGGGGGGGAGGGCGTGTGCCACTGACCGGTCTACGGGGCGGCCCACAAGGGTGGGGACACGGCCCGAGACGTTCGGGGGGATGCGGGCGGCGGCTGGCAAGGAGAGGTCGCACGGGTCTCTGACGAGGACGTGCGGGCCGTCGGGGGAGAGCGGAGCCCCGCTGGGCCCAGTGACGTCCCGTGACCCCGGCTTAGCGGGCAGAGACGGGTTCTTGTTCCCCCGTTCACACAGTGGAGCGTGACACAGGGCAAATCCAGCCCCCATCCGCCGAGACGACGGAGAAACTGAGGCAGCGGAGCCCACGCAGGGCTGAGGGACTCACATCGTGGCCTCCGACAGCTGCTCCTTGGTGAGGTTCAGAGGGTGATTCAGCGTGGTGATGCTGTGGGCACGGCGGGCGGGGCCCCGGGGCAGGCGGGCGCGTAGGAGTGCGTTGTTGGCCCGGTTGACAAAGGCCACCATGGCGTGCCAGCCCTTGTTGTTGAACCAGATCTGGGGTGGGGTCAGGGCCCAGGGGTCAGGGTGACGGGGTCCAACCTGCCGCCACCACCCGCCCGCCCACCACCCCCCGGCTCCCACCTTGAGGCTGTCCTGCGCATCCAGGCCGCGAGCCCACACCGTGAGGTTGTTCAGGAGGCGGTCAAGGGCCCCGCCGGGCTGGGGACTCAACAGCGCCCGCAGCTCCTCCACCGAGCGGCCCACCTCGCGCCCCGAGGGCAGGCTGGGGTCTCGGCCCCCGAGGGAGAAGCCCCCATACCTGTGGGTCAGTGGGGGCATGGCGGGCGGCTGATGGCCGTGGTCATGGAGCGGGCGGGCAGGGGCTGCGGCCAGGAGCCTGGGGTTGGGGGGCCCCCTCCTCACCTGACCTCGTTCACCCACTTCTTGGTCTTCAAGCTGCAGGGAAGACGGACGGACAGACAGACACACAGGGAGGACAGGGACGTGAGGGGGACGGACAGAGATGCCAGGGGGGCAGTGGGATCGTAAAGACGGGAGGCGCAGGGGGCACTCAGGGACCCTCCGGCCCGCCCGCTGAGACCCCCGACCCGCACGGCTCACCCCTGGCGCACCAGGCGCGGGTAGGTCTTGACCAGGAAGTCGGACAGGTTGCGGCCGGTGAGGTTCTGCACCAGCTCCCCGGAGCCGCCAGGGGCCTGGGGTGGCGGGGGGCCGCCGGCCGCGGCGGGGCAGGCGGGCAGCAGGCGCCGGGCGCCAGGCCGGCTGCACTGGCAGGCCGGGGAGGGGGACCCCGGGGTCCAGTTGCCGCTGGCCAAGACCGCGGCCACATCCGGGGGGACCTCGGGCACCGAGAACCTGTGGGGGGTGGGGGGCGGGGCTGTGGGCTGCAGGCCGGGGAGGCTCCGGGGACCCCCCCGAGGCCCACAGGCAGGGCGCTGAGGGGGAAACCGAGGCCGGCCCTCACCCGTGGGAGCCGTTCTTCTGGGCCGGCTCCTGCACTCCTGCCTCCTCCAGCAGCGCCTCCAGCAGGCGGGCGCGCTCGGGGTCCCCAGGGGCGTCCTCGCTGTGGGTGGGGGGCGGGGTCAGCACTGCGTCCCCAGCCCCTGGCCCTCCCGCCACCCCCACCACCCGCACCCACCTGAAGAAGGAGACCTGGGCCCCGTACATGGTGGGGCTGAGCCGCAGGGCCGGGTAGTGTCCGAACGGCGGCACGATGAGGCTGAACGCCAGCGCCAGCCCCACAAACAGGGCCGGCAGCACCATCTGAAGGACCGGCCGTCAGCTGCTCTCCCGCCCCTGCTCTACGACCATCCCTGGCTCCCCAGTGCTCCCACTGCAGGTGTTCAGAGTGGGGACTTGCCCGGGGTCAGGTGGCTGAGTTAGGCCACCTGAGTGGAGGCAGGCACCCATGTCCCCCCACATCCCCCGGGGCCCCCTCACCTGGGCGAACAGGCCACAGCGGCTGCGGCTGGCCAGCAGCAAGCGCTTCAGGAGCAGGGCCCGGAGCTGTTGGCGGGCCAGCGTCCAGCCCTCCACACGGCCTGCGGCGGCCGGCCCGGAGCCCCGCAGGGCCTGTGTCTCTGGGGCCAAGCCGGCTGCAGGGATGGGAGGGTCAGTGGTGGCCCCGTGGGGGACCGGGAGGGGCCCCAGGCTCAGGGCGCAGACCACTCACCTGGCGCCCCGTTCTCCAGGGCTGACCCCTCCGGCAGGATCTTGAGCTGAGGGCCTGCGTCCAGGGGAGCAATGTCCGTGCCCGGGGGCTGCCTGCGGCCACCATCTGTGGAGCCACCGGGGGGCCAGGGTCAGGGGCCACCGTTCAGCCTGGGGTCTGGGTCAAGGCCAAAGGTCACAGATGCAGGGCTCAGGGGTCAGGGATGGAGGTCAGAGCTGCGCATTGGGCCAGACTCAGCGAGGGATGAGCACTTGGTCTGAAGCCAGGGCCAACTCTGGACCAGGGTTAGGGGTCGAGGACAGGGCCCTGCGGCCACACCTTTTGGGTCCGAGTCCCCAGCACAGTCCTCCATCACCTTCAGGAAGATCTGGGGAGACCAAACGGGGGCTCAGACGCTGTGTGTCCCCCAGGCCTCCCCAAGGGACTCGGAGCCGCCCCTCCCTGGGCTGCCCTGCTGTCAGGAAGCAGAGCCCTCCTCCACCTCCAGGCAGGCCTCTCCCCTCCGGCAGCCGCACCTCCTCCAGGCTGGTGTCGGAGATCCCGTAGCCGGTCAGCCCCAGCGCCCCCAGCCGCAGGTCCAGGTCGCGGAAGAGCCCGGCGAAGCTGCCGTCCAGGGCGCCCTCGTAGGGCAGCGCCAGCACCAGCTCGTGGGGCAGCTCCTCCACCAGCCGCGCGCCGGGCACGTGGCTCTGCACCAGGGCCAGCAGCCGGGGCGCAGCCGGGGGCGCAGCGGGGGCCGGTGGGGCCCAGCCTCCCTGGAGTAGGGGCTTGGTCACCCAGGAGGCGCCCATCCCTGTGGGCAGAGGGGGTCAGGGTTAAGCACCCAACAGCAGGACTTGGCCGGGGGTCAGCATGGAGTCCACCTAAGGTCAGAGGTCACAGGGAGGTTTGTGTGCGGGCTCAGCCCAGGTGAGGTTAAAGGCAGGGGCTGGAGTCAGGCTCACCCGGGGTCAGGGGTCAGTCTGGGGTCGTGAGGCCCTGTTGCCACTGCCCCCACCGGCCCTCCCTTTGGCTCTCCCTCCCCAGCCCTCACCGGCCGTGCCACCCGGCTCCTCCTGCCTCCTGTCTTCCAAGTCGGCGTCACCCTGCGGGCCGAGGGACACCGACTGCCATGGCCATCAGGGCTGGACATAGCCTTGGGGGGTCAGGGGTCAGTCCGGCCCTCACCTTCTTGCTGGTGGCCAGGGGCGGGGGACCTTTGACCAGTGTCAGGTAGTAGCCAGAGCCGAAGTGACGCCGTAGGAAGAGCAGGGAGCCACAGCAGCACAAGCGGCCGGCCGCCACCACCGCCACGCGGTCTCCCAGGAGCTCCGCCTCATCCAGGTGATGTGTGGAGAGGATCAGTGTGCGCCCTGGTCACGGGGACCCAACCCACGTGGACCATCAGGCCACCAGCTGTCTGCCTGAACTGTGCCCTCCGCCGAGAATTGCCTGCCTGTGCGGCAAACTCCTGCTCACCCCTCAAAACCCCACCTCCAGCACCTCCTCCTCAGGAACCTTGTCTCCTCCTTAGAAACCTTTTCTGGCCCCTCAAGTGGAACCCAGGGGAACCCTAGGCCACCCACAACTCTTACCTTCGCGGTATTTGAGCAGCAGCTCCCAAATACCGCGGCGAGAAGCAGGGTCCACGCCAGCGGTGGGCTCGTCCAGGATAACGACCTGGGAGCCACCCACAAAGGCGATGGCCACCGAAAGCTTCCGCTGCATCCCACCTGGGAAGGGACGGGGGGGGGGGGGTCGCGATGTCAGCATGACCCCCCAGCCCTGGTCAAGGCTGCGCGCCACTCCCCCCTCCCCGCCACTGCCCGTTGCTCACCCACCTTGACCTCAGCCCCCACGGGATAAGGTCCCCGCCCCTCCCCAGGCCGGGCTCACCGGACAGGTGGCGCGTCTCCACACGCCGCTTGGGGACGAGCCCCGTGTCCTGCAGCAGCCGGTCCTGCTCGGGGCCCACGGCAGCCGCACTCAGACCCTTCAACCGCCCGTAGAACCAGATGTGCTCGTCCACGGTCATCCTGCGGCCACGGGCAAGGAACAGAGCGGCCAGCGTGGCAGGCAGGGTCCCCCGAGAACAGCCAGGCCTCCCACCGCCGCACCCCAGGGTCCCCCCAGGACGCACATGTCGAACAGCACGTTGTACTGCGGGCAGACGCCCAGGTGGGGCCGGATGGCGGCCATGCTGGAGCGGACGTCGTGGCCCAGGACGCAGGCGGAGCCACCAGTGGGCGGAAAGAGGCCGCTGAGGATGGACCTGGGGGTGTAGGATTCTCAGAGCTGCTGCGTCTTGGGAGCAGGACACTGAGGCCCCCCCAGAGAAGGGGCGCTAGCCCTTCAAGGACCAAAGGAGTGTTATGTCCCCATTTTACAGGGGAGGGAAACTGAGGCTCAGAGCAAACACGTATCGCTTGCCTACTGTGTACCCAAACCGAGGGTCCGCCTCCCACTGTGGAGATGGGACCCCCCAACCCGAGACGCCTTTCCCACGGAACAGATGCGCAAGCGCAGGCCGGGGCGGGGCGGGGCGGCGGCTCACAGCGTGGTGGTCTTCCCGGCCCCGTTGTGGCCCAGGAAGGCGGTGATGTGGCCTTGGTAGAAGTCCAGGCTGAGCCCGCGCAGGGCGGGCTGCGGGTTCCCAGGAAAGCGCTTTTCCAAGTTCCGGATGGAGACCCCCGAAATCAGGCCAGGCGGCGGCTCTTCCACCAGAACTGCGGAAAGTGGGGCACCCTCGGTCGGGGGTGGGGTGGGGGCCGTTCAAGCTGGGGGCTCCCTGTGGAGCGGGGGACCTGGCGGGCTGGGGTCTGTAGGAGTTAGGGGAGCCCCCGGGGACCTGGGGAGCTGGGCGAAGATTGGGATCTGCGGGAATCTGTTTTTTTGGGGGGGAGCCTGGGGGCTCCAGACGGGGAAGTGGCTTGTCGGGCCTCACCCTCCGGGTCCTGCAGGGCGGGGGGCGGGGCGAGATCCTTGGGGGGCCGAGGTCCAAACCAGTAGCTTCTCCGAAAAGGAAAGTTCCACGGTTCGGGGATCCCATACTGGCCTGGGGGGAGCGGTGTTCGGTTACCCCTTGAGCCCATCCCCCTGGAGCGTGTCAGCCCCGGCCACACACCTGGGATCGGGGCGTGCGGATAGCCGGCCGGGAAACCCCCCCCCCCCCCCCCCCCCCCCCCCCCCCCCCCCCCCCCCCCCCCCCCCCCCGCCACACCCACGCACTTTGTTCCAGAGGCCGCAGGGCTGCCTCAGGCGATACACAAACTGGGACCTGGAGGCCCGGGGCAGGACAGTGATCCCGAATCCGTGTTTCAGATCTCAGAAGTGCTCCAGACACCCGTGGGAAACTCCCAAAGTTGGCGATCGGTCCTGCTACC